CCGGTCTGGATCACATCCCAAACAGCGGAGGGAGAAACCAAAGCTATTTGCATCTCGAGTGCATCTGATCCTGTATATAGCTTGTTACAGTCTCAGCTGTAGCTTAGATGTTTGCTGTGTACTGGTTTTCAAGACTACTGCTGGGAGATGCCATTGTCTGTCTCTTGTTTACCTCTATCATTCATTTGCTGCTTGACTGAGGAAATGGTAGAATATAGCAGTTCTCAACCGCAAATACCAACATTTAGGTACCTTGATAAATGACCTGATTTTGCATGGTTCTGATATCATGCAGAAAGTGAGGGTGTATATTGGCTGATTTGCTATTAATATCCAAGCTTGAAGGTGGAGGCTGCATATTCTGTGACTACACCCCCATAATGACCATCTTCTTTCATAAAACATTATGGGAGTCAGGAGGAGAAAGGATATATTCAATATGCCTTTATTGTGAAGATTTAGATCTTTATTCTGGATAATATGGGAGTTGGCATGTAATACCTTCTCATCTGCATTTGCTTGCTGTTTTCTGTCTCCTTTTCGCAAGTTGCCTCTGCAGATTGGTCAGACATGAGCACATAACGGAATTTTTACATACACTGGCAGAAGTGATCTTTCCCAGGTGACTGTTTCAGTAACAGTCTTCGTAATTATACTGTGTGCTCCACTTATCACAAAGGCTCCTCAGAAGGCCTTCAAAAAGCAGATTTACTCATACAGTAATATATTACTGGCCTGTAATTCTCTTTTAATCTCTAATGATGTCAGGGGTCATCAGATTTTGAGTGAACTGAGAGAGGTCGATTTATTGGATTATCCCCCTGTGCAGGGCTTTGTTTGCAGTGTGCTTTTGGACTCTTAGCTACAGATTATGACAAGCTACGTGAAGAAAACAATTCTGTAATCTGCAGTCATTGCACATTTAAATCCATATTTTAGATTTAGATAGAAGTCTTGCCTTGGAGCATTTTGTAGAAGTGGGACATTTGCAAGCTGATGATAAGGTGGTATTAGAAAATCCTGCATCTCTCATGAGATTTGAATTGCAGTTTGGTAGTGTTGCACTTGTTTTTTTGAGTTGTTCTGGTGAAACCTAACCACGAAATAGCCAGGATTGGTTCCTCTCTTTCTTCTTACTCGGGTGTTCTGCTCCTTTGGGTCATGGCAATCTTTACAGTCTGCTTGTTCTGACAAGAACTATCACTTCTTTCCAATCTGAAATTAGAACCATAGATACTCAACTGCTTCATCCTAGCCCTGAATACAAGGGTTAAAGTGTGAAAGATAGAGGAGTAACAGCCTTTTGATTTGGATCTTCCCCTGAGCTTGGGCCCAGCTGTGCATTAGACATTTTTGTGAGTAACCACAAGAAAAGGAATGCAGCAAGTTTGAACAACTTCCTCTTTTCTTTCTTTAGCAACATTTAGTGTTTTATCAACAGTGCTAGTAAGTTACAGTAATATAGGGAAATACCTTTTATAGAAGTCCCATTTAAACCTTGTATATAACCATGCAAATCAAAGCCATTAATTTATGTGCTTCAGTATGGAATTAGGTCACTGATTGTCTGAATGGGTATGAGGTATAAAAAAAATCTAAGTGCTAAAAAGTGCAGCTTATTCCTGAAACAGGCCAGAGGCCACATAACCTAAGCTGGATCTTGAAGGGAAGGATACCTGGCAGACTGAGAAGTGTTCAGTGGCTAGGTGGTACTCCAGAGTAATTGGGCTTTGCATGAATTTTATCTCTTTACGATACAGAGAATGACAATCCTTGTGTATAGTGACTGACTAAGGCTACTATGTATTTGGGTTCCCCAGGTATGTCCATGTTTTCTGCAATTAATTTTTATCTTGACAGAGCAATTTGATTGTAGCCCTTTGCTTGAGATTTTCAAGAGTCCAGAAGTCCAGCTGGAGTCAGATGTAGGAAGTACAAATTGAACAGCCATTGTGCTTTGTCACAAGTGTGTCCAGTTGTGACTTCGAGTGCACAACAGTCAGTCTGTGTGTACATACAGTGGACCTGCTGCTTCTGCAAGGCATTCTGGGTGCACACATACTTCTGAGCTTTCCCAGAAACTTACTATTTCTTTTTTCTTCCTCCACAATTTTTTATCATTATTTTCACACCCTCTCCTGTGGGTCTTGCAAGGAAGCTGCCCATCAGACTACACTGATGTCTTAGCAGCAAGCTCTGCCCAGGAGCACAGTCTCAGAACTGGACACTGGAATTTCAGACACTCAGACCTCCAGTGGCACCCTAGGACAGACTCCCAGTATCAATCTACTTTTCCCTGCAGTGTTCCCTCTCAGTACAACTGCTGACCTGTTGTGAGAATAACTGCTGTTGCACATGTTTATGGAAAGGAGTTTGTCTCTTAATTTCACTGAAAAAATAGATATAAATTTACTAGGGAGGTTACGAGTTTTGACATATTGCTGCTACAACCTTTCTCAGTAGAACTAGTTGAGGTGGCACACACTCACATCACAAGATATGGCTGCATAGCTGTGCAGCTCCAACTGTCAGACTGAGGCTGCGCCAGCTCTGGAAGGACACTACACAAAGACTGTTTTACTATGATTTATGATTTGTGTTGACATAGCAGTGGGGGACCCAAACTTCACTGTGTTTAGCAGTGCCTGAATGTACTATAGAAAGACAATCACTGTCATAGTGACCTTCCAGTCTCCATAGACAATCTCAAGCCTGGATGATCTTGACTGACTCTCTTTCTGTGGCAAAGCTCCCGCCAAAATAGTTTTGCCTTTGTGTATAATTTTGGAAATGTTGAATGAAGCCATAGTAAGGGTATTTGCAGTTGGTGATGTGGGCAATAGTGAACTATCTGCATCCTTTAATGTTCGTTTTCAGACATCTTCATGTATAAGCTAAAAATGTATGTAAGGATTAAGCTCTTTTATATGCATAAAACCAAAGTCTATGATTTCTCCAAAATACTAACAGACTTTCCTCCTCAGTAAAGTGAACAAAATATAAGCCAGAGTCAGTTTTAAAGCCAAGTCCTTTCAAAGAGGTGTTGGCCAAAACAGGCATAGAAAGCATTAAAACAAATAAAGTCCAGCTGAATTTTCATAACACACTGGGGTAGGTCTTAATTATATTTTTCAGTGAGACCTTGGCAGTTATTACAGCCAAACACCCCACCTCACAACTTGCTAGTGGTGAGCTCAAAACTGTCTGTCAGTGTAGCTGAACTGCAAGGTTTTTGCAGTCAGTATTTCTTCAGTCTTACACCCATTACTTCTTTCATGTTTAATTGCTTGATTAGATTTTAACTTGCCAGTCCTGAAATTACATACAAACACTTTGGGGTTTAGGTGGCTTTCTCAGACAGCTGCCACAGTCTATGTCCTGCCTGGATGTCCTGATAATCTGTACTGCAATATTGCTGTGGTAGAATTGCCTTTTAAGTGCAGAACTTCAGGGCGATTTAAAAAAGGCAAGCTTTCAGATGCTTCTCCGAATCTCTGTTTCAGTCAATGGTATAACGTCATATAGAATCCCAGAATGGTTTGGGTTGGAAGGGACCTTAAAGCCCATCTAGTTCCAACCCCCCTGCCATGGGCAGGGACACCCTCCACTAGACCAGGTTGCTCAAAGCCTCATCCAGCCTGGCCTTGAACACTTCCAGGGATGGGGCATCCACAGCTTCTCTGGGGAACCTGTGCCAGTGCCTCACCACCCTCTCCATGAAGAATTTTATCCTTTTTATTTTATTTAAATCTAATCTAATTTACTCACTTTCAATTTAAACCCGTTACCCCTTGTCCTGTCGCTACAGGCCCTTGAAAAAAAACATCCCTCGAGCTTTCTTGTAGCCCCCTTCAGGTACTGGAAGGTGCTATAAGGTCTCCCTAGAGCCTTCTCTTCTCCAGGCTGAACAAGCCCAACTCTCTCAGCCTGTCCCCATAGCAGAGGTGCTCCAGCCCTCTGAGCATCTTCATGGCCTCCTCTGGACTCGTTCCAACCAGTCGATATCCTTATGTTGAGGGCCCCAGAGCTGGGGTTTCATTAGAGCACAGAGGGAGAATCACTTTCCTCGACCTGACGGCCCAGAATTCTGTATTCTGATACAGCCCAGAATACAATTGGCTTTCTGGGCTGCCAGCACACACGGCCGGCTCATGTTCAGCTCTTCATCCACCAGTACCCCCAAGTCCTTCTCCTCAGGGCTGCTCTCCAGCCATTCTTTGCCCAGCCTGTACCTGTGCTTGGGATTGCACCAAACACCACCAACTCGAAGTGTCTGGAAAATCAAGGTACTCTCAGGCACCGAATCTGGTGTAACAAATGGGATGATAGTGGGACATAGTCTGTAATAGGTCAGTGACTTTCAGGTGCATGGTGATCAAATATTTGTGAGATCTCATAGGTGTTTAGTCATGTGAAATGAGTTCGATCTCCACTACATTTTACTCCATCATATGCCATCATTTCATATCCCTATCACAATTAACAAATTCACTGGTTAAGGTCACAGTATCCTCAAAGAAGGTTGATTGACATTGCTTACATTACAGCTTGGGAGAAAAGGTTTTGGTATGTCAGCTTGGTGTGGCAGCATTTATTTAATTTATACTTGCAAATATCAAAGAATACCTTTTGAACATGCCATCAGAATTCCACCCTCAGCATTTCCAGTTCAAAGTGCTGCAACAGTTTCTAAATATAACAGTACATTCCAAATTTTCTTGTCTTATGTTTATTTATAAATGCATGCCAAGAAACTATAGAAAAAGGGAATTTGTGCATCATTTATCATTCAGACAAAATTCATCGTGCCTTGGGAAAAAGGTTACTTACACTGCATTCCTCTTCCAAAATTACTCCTTTATTCACTCTAATCTGTCAAAAGACGTAGGAAAATGCATTTCTCCTGTAGAACTAGCTACTATAATAAAAATAACATTTAAAAATAGTGTTAAATATTTGCTGGTTCCACCTCGTCTGATTGATTTCTATTTCTTTTCCAGACTTTTGGTGCTGATGATGTTGTGTGCACAAGAATTTATGTAAGAGAGTAAAAACATCAATTTACCTGTCATCTGGGATGAAGTGGAGAACTGTGAAAATCCCCAGTGTAACGAATATCTGTGTGTGCTGTTACTAATGCGGTGTTGTATGTGACCGTGTGTGTTATATCTGGACCCATATCCTCTGTTAAGTGTATTTTGCTTTCATTTTTCAGTGCAGACACTATTCCTTCTCACTTTTATGCCATCATTTTTTGTCTGCTTTGTATTTTGTAGTTGTCACTTGCTATGGTTTCATGAATTATTAAACTTATTGGGCATAACTCACAGCTGGTTTTGGGGTGTTTTTAATAGAAAACACAGCAGTGCTTTGGTGAGCACTGAAACGCCTTTTACCTTCTGTTGAAGTCACTGTGGAGTTTCACTGGTGTGTTGGCTTGCACTATGCTGTCAGGGAACACCTCCTACTAGGGCGACACAACGTGCAGGAGAGCAAGTGAAGTGCAAGGCCTTTCGCAGAGCTGCAGGCTGCTCTCTCAAACCCAGAGCTCTGCTTCTTTCTGTCCTGTCTCCTTGGGAGAGCTGTTGAGGAACAATTTGTGTATCCTGTGACTGTGATACAGCAGAACCAGTCAAGACAAAGAGAGATCTTTATCCTCTTTCCCGCTGCGTCTCTGAAGAATGCCCAAACTTTCCCTGTTGAGACACTCATTATCTAAGTACAAAACCCAGCTGCATCTACGGGACAAATAACACTGTGATCATGACTAATACTTACTGTCATCACACCCAAGCACCTCAGGCATGATCAGAGAGTCAGCAGAATCTGACAGACTTTACTTTTTTGGGCCATAAAAAAGATAAAGCTGAGGAAAGATGCTTTTCTCCTACCTTCTCACCTGTGACAGAGGGAACTGATGACTTCACCTCTCAGTGTTACAGCTCTTACTTTTGGTGACTCAATATTTCATTCTTTGAACATGTAAGTGTTTCACAAACCAGGGCCATAGTTCAAGAATGAAAGAAACATCCAATTTAATGTATTTATTCTGGCTCAGAGCTCTGGCCACAGCACTATCAAGTATTAGATAAAAGCTAAACATACATTCTTCTAATGAACCAGAAACTCTTCTGTTCTTCAGCCTTGGAAATATCTGGAGGCTGAGACCAGAAGCACCGCTTACTTCACTGCAATATCCAAGCTTATATGATGAACTTTCAGCTTTGCAAGAATAATTTATCTGCTTCATGCCACCCAATCATAGAAAATTTTAAACAGTTTCAGTGTTAGCAGAGTATATGTCCTGTTCACTGGACTGTGCTCAATATTCAGAATGGGAAAATTGGTCCAAACCTTGATTTTCTTGGGGCACCCATGGGAAACAAATTACTTTGTCTCTTCACCACCCCCATAGCTATACAGAGGAATCCCCTTTGATAGGGTTGTCGAGCTGCTGCGGAGAAATCAGCCACCTGTTCTACATATTGGAGCGCGAGCTACAGCAGCACAACAGGAGAGAAACATATTCTGTCTCTTCTGCTCTGACAGGTCACACTTTCTTTCTCTGCCATGAGCACTCAGGATACAATATTGCTGTTGAAAAGAGGGATCTTTTCCTTCCACAGTCTAACCTGAAGTTAAACCCAGTTTCCAAGACCTTGGTTCAGTTGGTACTCATTAAATACACTGCATGCTAGTTCACACTGAAGCATGGGCTGAAACGAGTTCATTGTGGTTTGGGCGCAGCTGCAGCTACCCCCCGGTAAGAATGAAACCATGAGGGGGAACAACAGTGATCTATCTTTATTTTCTATCTTCTTTTGAGATTCCAATTATAATAGTTGGGTGTGTTTTTTTCTAAACAAATTCCATTTCAGGAGTATCTGGACCTGCTTGTGCAATCATCTGTGGCAAAGGGACTCCATAAAAAGTGCCAGGCTGAGCCAGCTCAAAGCATCTCAGTGATGCAGACAAAACTGTGTCTTGCCACATCAAGGCTGAGAAATGAATAGCACTGTATTGCAGGACCTGCTGGCACATGCCATATCCTACAGCAACAGGAGCCCACCAACACTGTAGAGTGCTTTGCCTCACCTCCCAGAAGGTGGGTGGTGGATGGTACAAGCTGAGGAGACAAGTAGTAGAGCCAAAGCCAGTAGGTAGCAGGGCTGTTTTGCCATTCCAGAAAACTGCTACACTTAGCAATGACCTTTTCTGCCTGTGTCTAAAGCAGCCCTGATGCACGGTTTGGGAGGGTTCAGCAAGGTATTGGTATGAACCTCACATGTCTAGAGCAAGTGAGTACATTTAATGGAAGCAGTGATTTCTGGATTTCATATCTAGGAAGGCTCATGCTAAGCTGTTGTGTTGCTCAAACAAATATCCTTCAGAAAGCTTTCCCATCAACTGGAAAATACCGTCAGGTTTCCATCCTGTTGGCAACTACTATCTAAGTAGTAAAGCATGAGCTGTGTAACTGGGTTGTAGAGATTATGATTAAAAACAGGCTTTTGAGATATGAGCTACCCTGCATAGCTGGGAACTTTCTTCTTCCAGGATTGAAACTGTTCCCCTAAGCTTCATTTGCAGTCTGGCATGACAGAAGTTTCTTTCTTTAGTAGTTTCACTGTGGAAGCTTCACCCCTTGATTGGCTTTCGTGGAGTTATGTTAGAGTTACTGCTGCATGGGTAAATTCTTATGAACAACTAGAATTGGTCCAGGGTGTTAGTTTTATGGCTCATTGTTGAAAGAGTGCAAAGGCCAAATTGCATTTTGTGAGTCCTCTGGGATTTAAAAGCTCTTCAAATCTAGGCACACAAGGATTTGGAATTATTTTACTGGCCAAAAGCCTTGCAGTTGTCTCCTGCCTTTCTCTACTTTGCTGAGATTAAGCTCCTTTGGGAACATGGGAGTTGAACAATGCCATGGTGGCCAACAGAGACATTTTTATCCACTTTTTATGTAAAAGATCATGAATTCACCCCTCCCCAGATGAGGTGATGGAAGCAGAGTAGAGTTACTGTAGCTGGCATCCACAAAAACTTAGTCTCACAATGTCTGAGTGTTAAAACAGCTGCTGACTAGAACCAGGATCCTGAAAGGATCCTGAAAGCTTCAGGCAGCCACTCTCTGCACATTAGGGGAAGGGACTTCTATAGGCAAAGGTGCCAGGACGATGGAGCACCTAAGAGTTACCTACATGGTTTGCTGATTACGAGAGAGTATGTGGATATCTGAAAAGGGTGCCAGGGATTTTATGGATATTGCCTTCCAGATTCAAATCTAAGAGATTGCATCGCTACGTCTTTTAATCAGGCCTGTGATGGTACAAACAGTGGAGCCAGGGACAGAGCCTGGCTCATAGTTATGTGTGTTAGTGCGCAAGCAGAAACTACCTTCCCCTCAGGCTGCTGTGTTCTAACTAGCACTTTGTCACTTGACCTGGAAACACTCAGTGGTTACAAGCACAGAGTGGTGACAAATGTGGCTCACCTCTGTCCGGATGGCAGCTGACTGACCACTGTATGCGTAACTACTCACTGCATGTCTGCCGTCTTGCTCAAGAAGCTAGACTTCGGATGCCTGCCAGCGCTCAATGGTGATGGCCAGATGGCTTTCTGGCTTTGTTGCCAAGCTCTTTCTGACCATATGAACGAATGCATCAGGGAACTCTTCCCTGTGACTTGATTTCATACTACTATTTAGGTCTGAGAGTATTTCTTCACACAGGGTCAGCAGAATACGGATAGTTAAGAAAGTGAGAAGTCTTCCTCCCTGCAACCTAAAGGCTTTGTCTTGCAGTTGCCTAAACAGTCCTGCTGGTTGAATGGATACAGTACAAGTGAGTATTCACTTGTCTAAACAGAGGTGTCTACAGCTATTTTAGATGTCCAGTGTGTCCAGGAGATCTGCACAAAGCTGGCATGTAACACAGGCTCTGCATGAGATCTGTCCCCTTTTTATGGAGAGGCAGCAGCAGACCAGGGACAAAACCCAAGGGCAACGCAACATAGATGTTTGTGATTAGGCAACTGACTCCCAACCTATGTGCCTGCAGGCTTGGGACCATGCTGTGCGCTGCATTGAGCGCACTGATAGCTAACTGCTACAGCAGGACAAAGAAAGGGTTGTACAGTTATCTGCAACAACTTGGCACATGTGTAACATTTCACAAAAACAAAACTCCACGGGAGCGGAACACTAGGATACAGCAGCCATATTCTCTGCCCTAGGGCAAGAAGAGTTCATTTTAGGATTTTCCTTTGATTTTCCATACTTTGTTCTTATGCTGCTTTCATGAAACATTCATTGTTTTTGTTTTCTCTAGGAAAAATAAACATCCTAAGCAGTAAACAGATCAGGCAGTGAAGTTGGATTCAAAATAATCCACTGTGGGCAACACAAAATATGAAAAAATAATTTCCAGACAGAAATGTGATACTGCATTGAATTGTTGACTTCACACGTATCTGTACCACCAGCTGCTTTTGTGCGGGAACAGAGCTGTCCCACCGCATGCTGTATGCCCTGCAGAGCTGCTGCTGCTTTAGCTCTGAGTGCAGAGAGGCCTATTTCTGCCGACAGGAAGCTCCAAGTCCCACATGGCTGCAGAATCCAGAGTCTTTGAACCCTGTTAAAATATGTGTTGTCTGACTACTGCCATGTCAGAAGTGGCACAACCTAAGGTGTTCTCTTTGATATTACAGATGGCTGGCTGGCTGGCTGACCAAGGGGGGTGGTTGAAAAAATGCTGTTATTAATAATGGAGGAATAGGTGGGAATAGATGTCATAGTGATTTCTGCTAATTTCTTCATTTTCAACATTCCCCACATTGCTTCCTGGTCAGTTCTGACCAGAAGTAAGAAACCTCCAGGGTTCTTGACATTTTAGTTCACTCTTACTTGACTCTTGCTGCACTCTGATAAATCAGTGAAGTTCTGAAACTCAGCATTTAGTCTTGTGTCTCTCATTCTGTTTCCATCTGAGGGCCTGCTGGTTGATGCTACACTGACATGATCTGTGGCAGGCACTTGGGTTTTTTGCCTTGTTCTCAAAACAGAGAGCAGCTAGTCCATTTTACAAGCCTGAATACGATTCACTCTTAGAATGTGTGGTATGCTCACACACTGCAACTAGAGAGGAAGGTGGTGAGGCTTGAAGTGCTTTCTGCAGCAGGCAATGCCACAGCCTTCTGCTAGATACTGTTATCTCCCTCACAAACCAGCTGCTCGCTGGGAGAGGCAGTTCAGTTGTTCAAGAGAAAGGATGTTACAGTCTAGGTGACTGACCAAACTACAGATTTCTTAAAAGCACTGTAGATATGTAT